ACGTTTTTTCAATTTTGAACGCGTATTACAGCAATATGGATAATAGCACATGAATGTATAATGTACATTCAGCTTTCATATGCATATATTGGATTCATTCTATCTATTATAGTAAATCAATGTAAATAAAATTAACATACACAATTTCTAATCTGCTCAATTTTCGAGAAATACACTTTAACATTGTTAATTTAAAATAACAATTTGCTTATTTTCATAGTTAATGCTAAAATCTTGTTTTGAAATTACTATAATCTTATAGTTGTAAACCATAAATCCATGCACTTATTGATGTTTGTTTCTTCACTTAACTATCAAACGCAAATGGATTTTTTTTATTCATGTGTAATTAAAAACGTAATTTCCACACGATTTGAATTTGAAGTTATCGCTTTGAACATGTCTAGAGACTCTTGATTACGAATTAAAAACAGAAGAAAAACGCGAATTTATCGTACAGAAACTGCGACGTCATCCATCACGGCAAAGGAAATTTATAGTCCTTGCAGTATTTTTATCAAAGGAGGAAGAGAAACCTGCAGAGGTTTTTCCTGCTGCATCGTTTCCCACGCGCTTTTCTTCCTTTAGCAGGAAACATTTTGTTCTCGGAAAAATCCTTATTTTTTCGTTTGTTTGTTTGAGAGAGATTTTCTATTGATTTATTTAAATTGGTGATCGGTTTGTGACGTTTCAAATTATGGAAACAAAATAACTTCGTTACAGCTTTCATTTGTTACACGATGATTTATGTTTTTGTTTTGTTTCAGCTTACATTTACTTGTTAATCGGGGGAATCGCCGGGGCGGCTCTGCTTCTTTTAACCCTCGGATTGTTCCTTCTGAGACGGAACAGAATTAAACGGGATGATGAATCGTACAAAGGATCGAGTATCCTTGTGTATCCTTCGCATCAAGGATGCGCCACGCCGCAGTTTCTGTAAGCGCTTTATTATTTTCGTTTCTTTCTTGAGTCTGATTATTAATTCTTTGCAGGACGAAGGAGATTCATTTTAGTCTGCCGCCGATGAGGAGCACCTCTTTAGGCGATCTGAACGAGAACGATCAGGATTCGGACGTGGACATCGACACGGATTCTCTGCTTCCTGCCACGTCCAGCCACAACCAACGATCCAATTCGTTCAGTAAATATATAGAGAGAGAGACATGTTTCCTGCATCCTCGCCTCTAATCTGATCCTTCTTCCAGGCTGCTACGGTTTGGGCGTAATTGAGCCGAGCCTCTATCGCAGCACTCTGGATTTAGATGAGATCCAATGGCCGGAAGGGCACATAGGGCGGATATGGTTCTCGTTGAGATACGAGCCTTCCACCGAAAAGTTGCTCGTCTCTCTGCTCAAGGCGAAGAATCTACCCTCTAGAACCGTCGGCACCGTCAACAGTTGCGATCCTCTTGTTCGGTCCGTCATCATGAACATCTCAACGCTTCTATTTTGGTTTTATATCGAATATGTGCGCTTCATTGTTGCAGATTGCACTTGATGCCGGACGAAAGACGCTACTTGCAGTCGAGGCCGAAGAAGAAAACCTGTAATCCGTATTTCGACGAGACTTTAGTTTTCCAAGTAAGTGCTCACCAGGGAAAACCAATTAAGATATATTACCTCTTTTGTTTTCCCCTTTATACAAAGTACAATCCCTTATTCGATGCGTGATTGTTTTCTATAATCCACAGCCTTCGTAAATGACCAAAAACTACTTTCTGAAAATTACTTACTGTTTTTAATTTTCTAGATTTTTAAGTTTTCCACACTTAATTATTAATGAAATCTGTTTTTTTTATGTTCAATATTTGAAATCCATCATTTTCATGTGATTTTCAAGGTAGTAACAAGATATGTTCATTCTTTTGTTTTCCTCTTATACAAAGTTATATTGATGCGTGATTGTTTTCTATACTCCACAGCCTTCGTAAATTTCAATAACCAAAACTACTTTCAGAAATGAAAGTATGAAAATTACTTAGATGTTTCTAATAGTTCAATTACAATAATTAAGAAAATTTATATTAGAACATTCAATTCTATAAGATTCAAATATGAAATGTTTTATGAATATTTGAAAAGTTCACACATTCCAATCAATTTAGTTTTTCTACTTTTTTATTCGCAATTTAATATATGAAATTCTACTTTCATCCCTTTATTTTCATGTGATTTTCAAGGTAGTAACAAGATATGTTCATTCTTTTGTTTTTCCCCTTGTACATAGTTATATTGATGCGTGATTGTTTTCTATAATTCACAGCCTTCGTAAATTTCAATAACCAAATACTACTTTCAGAAATAAAGTATGAAAATTACTTAATGTTTCTATAGTCCAATTACAATAATTAATGAAAATTTCTAATTAGAACATTAAATTCAATATTTCCACACTCAATTAATAATTAAATCTGTTTTTTTTATGTTCAATAATTAATGAAAATTTCTAATTAGAACATTAAATTCAATATTTCCACACTCAATTAATAATTAAATCTGTTTTTTTTATGTTCAATATTTGAAAAGTTACACATTCCAACAACTTAGTTTTTCTACTTTTTTTTCTTGCAATTTAAAATGTGAAATTCTATTTTCAATCCGTCATTTTCATATGATTTTCAAGGTAGTAACACGATATATTCATTTTTTTGTTTTCCTCTTATACAAAGTTATATTGATGCGTGATTGTTTTCTATACTCCACAGCCTTCGTAAATTTCAATAACCAAATACTACTTTCAGAAATGAAGTA